AGATCAGGCTCTAGGCTTGAGTTTTCCTTCATTGGCCAGCTTGAACACACGGGCTTGAGATGCTGCAGCTTTGTTTGATCCCAGAGCTCCCACAAAGCTGTCCCTGACTTGCTTGGTTGTGAAATGGAACCTGTTATCAACCATGGAATTCAGCAAGGCAGCAGTTCCTTGTCTGTAGAGTTCACCAAGCCCATCAGTATGTGTATTGGAAAGCGCTTGCTGCAAGCTCATGGTGCTTGAGCCAAACCCTGGAAGGCTATTCACTCCAAATGCATGGCCCAAAGTTCCCCACCAGCCTAACAGACCCCATATCACTGTGGGATGGTTCCTCCAGTAGCTGCAAAACATGGTAATAATTTTGTGACTTAGAGATGGCATTGAAGTTATATATACACACACATAGCTTCAGTTGAGGGATCCCTTGTGGGTTCACTCCGCATTGTATTTCAATGACCCGAACAATATAACCATATATGTATATATCTGATCAGTTTTGTGATTAATTGGAACTTACATGCATGTAAACGGTGGAGAGTTGGGATCAGGAAGAAAAGGGGGTGTAGGAATGCTAGGAGTGTTTGGGTCAGTTGGTGGGGTTCCAATGTATGGGATTGGGGGGCTAACAATGTCTGGTGTGGGAGGGGTTAAAACGTCTGGTGTGGGAGGGGTTAAAACGTCTGGTGTTGGTGGGGGGCTGTAGCCTCCTGAAGTTGGTGGAGAGTTATAGTAGCCACCACCACTTGGAGGAGTTGAGGGTGTTGATGGCTCGGATGGAGTTCCAGGGTCGTGTGATGGAGTTGGGTTGTGATATGGTGGGGTGCCACAGTTGGAAGGTGGTGATGATGGTGTTGGGTGGTGGCTTCCATGAGAGGGGGGTCTGTGAGAGCCACCACCATGTGATGGTGGATCGGAAGGAGTACTGTGTGAACCTGCATTAATAAAAGACGTGTTAGATATTACAATGTTACTGACTTGATCATCATCCTAAAGCATGCTATGACATAGTTTCTGCTATATGCTTGCTAGATGTTTGTGATATAAACCATATTTTACAATTTGAACCCAAAACATGTTTGTTTACTGTGATGAACTCACATATTTAGGTAAGAAAAGTAGCATTTTGTTCTTGTAGTGTAATATTTTAAACTGGTAACTGAAACAATCAACTTTGCAAGAATATCAATCTTGAAGGACAAAAATATATAGAGTACAGACAAAATGTGTGTGTTAAACAGATCAACAATGCACGTGTTAAGACCAGAAACGGAAAGAAAAAAAGAAGAAAAAAAAACAGAAATAATGTGTGTGTTCTGTGAAGAAGAGAGAGAGACAGAGAGACCTCCAGGGGGGCTTCCTGCATGTGGGTCTGGAGAGTAGTAGGTCTTCTGGCCTTCAACAGTGGAGGACATAACAGGGATGACCAAGTTCTGGGATATCATCCCAGCAACCAAAGTCCATATGAACAAAGAGGCAACTCTGCTTCTCACTCTGCCCATTTTTTTCTTCTTAGAATACACTGAGGAAAGGAGGAAGCAGAAGTGAAGGATGGATTGATTCCAGGAGGAAGAGGTGAAATATATAGGGTAGATGTAGAGAAGTTAATATTAGCAGGTGAAGGAGTGCTGTAGTTAGTTGATGTGCTGCAGGTGCATTTATCATCCTATTTACTCTTGTGTTTTTACAATAATGGTATCAAGTTTTGAAGTAGCTTTGAGACACAAACCACATAAAATCAAATGAAAGGTCTCTCTCTCTCTCTCTCTCTCTCATATAATTTGTGTTCTGCATTACTTATGAAGTTGATTGAATCATGTGGCATGGGCTAATATGGGTGTTGACATATAATATTGCTTGTCATTGGTTCTGACCTGGATAAATGGGATTAGGGAGCTAATTGTTTTTTTTAATTTCTTGATGAAGCCTCTGCTTGGAAGCAAATACCTTTCTAGTTTAGAAAGCATGATATATAAAATGTGCCAAGAAAGGACAAATCTTCCCTCCCCAGCCTTGTGCGTTGGGATAATATATGGAAACCAATGCATGATCTGCCTTCAACTGGCTGTTTGCAAGCTTCAGCCTTCAATATGAATGAGACACCACTAGTGGCTGTGGACAGGTGGCAAACCAAATTTTTTCAATCATAAGTTTGTGAACTCCATCTTGCTCTGAGATCCAAGACAATGACCCCAGAATAAGCATGAACCCAATTTAAGTTTGTCTCAAAACCAATCCAAACCTTGACTATCCTGTCATTATGTCTTTGTATTAAAATTTGGACTAGGATTAGATGTCCTAGTCCCTATTCAACCTAAATGGAATATTGTGTTAGATATGAGATTATTTAGAAATTAATTACAATATGGTACATGAAGTTATTTCAATCCCTTGTCCAAGATTTGCCTGTATGCTAGATGTAGAGCCCCGAGCTAGTGGAGCCAACCCATATATTTGTGTAAATTGTGATGGGCCATGTGAAGATTTCTCAGCCTTAATTGTATAAAATTTTCAAGTACGGCTAGCATCCATCTCCTCTCTAGCATCTTCAGCTTCTACATCTTTGTGGGTTGGAAATGAACCAAACCATGTATGAAGAAGATCTTTTGTGGTTGTTTGGGTAGGGAATTGAAACTGAACCAACCAACATCTTGTCGGGTATCAAATTTTGAAGAATTGGTCATGGTTTCGTGAAATCTGTCATGAAAAATTCCCCATTTTGGTCTCCATATAAATTTGTAACAAGCTATGCACATTGCAGATGGAAATTGTAGTTAGAACAAATATGTTAGAGATATGGTATGTATAAAAGATGGCAAATGACTCAAAATTCTGTATATGAACATAAAACTTTTATCAGACATAAAAGCATAAGGAAGGACCCCAACACCTGGTAGAAAGAGAGAGAGATGAGCCAAGAGATGCTGATCCATGAAGTGGGTTCTGTGTCAAACTTAATGAGTATGACAGAGAGGTAGGTGAGATTGAACAAAAGTGTTAGGAGGAGAGTAAAGAAGACAGCAAAGAAGGGCATTGTTTTTTGAGGTTCGTAATTGAATCACTTTCAAGTTTCAAACCCCTCTGACCATAAATTTGAAGCATATGAGAGAGAGAGAGAGAGAGAGAGAGAGAGATGTATGTCATTCAACCAAAGTTTTATGGCTGTGTAAGAGACAGGTTGGCTAATGGCCATGCCACAGTAGGTTCATGAGTTGTCACACATTGGAGAAGGTCACAGTGAAACAGTAAGTAAAATTCCGCAGTGATGGATGGCAAGGAGGCCTATGGACCTACAAGCTAGCTAGCCACTGATGAATTTAAAAATATGGTTTTGGATTTGGTGGCAGTTGAAAGCATTAATCCCATAAAATTCTTCAAGAATTTGGTGCGATAATTATACAAAAATATGATGATAAGTGAAAATGTCTACAAAGAATATTAATTAGCCTGGTCTAACTTCAATGAGCAAAAGAACAATGGTTTATAATATTAATGAATCCAAGATTAATCATAGCTCTAAATTCAAAGACTAATTTTTGAAGCCATCTGCTTATGCCATGTTTGCTGTAAAATCAGTTTTCTTGATCCAGAGACCTTTTTCCTGGGAACCCCATTAAAAGGTCCATTTCCTTTTCTTGGGTAGAGAGGGAGGAAGTTTCATTGTCTCTCTAGCATGACAAGTTCCACTGCTGCTTCTGTGGAATTTCCTAACAGAGAGAGACTGGCTGCAAATCTTATCAATGCTCGCACACAGGTCTCCAAATTGTTTTTGCTATAGAGATGTGAATTTACTGCTACAACTGTACCATTAACTGCTACAACTGACATCCTCTCAAAATAAACTTCAATGTCTGGCTTTGCATCTCCTTAAAACATGTATGATATGTGCATATCATGGATGGTGCTTGCTTTGCTAGATTTTTGGTGCTGGAAGAAGATTATGTACTCAACCATGTACTAAATGTATGACACTATGGCTACAATCCATAGAAGACATACATACCCATATACAACTGACTAATTATTTATCTCAGCAACAGAGCCACATGTAGACATAGGATGGATTTGGACGTCCCAACCTACATGTAGCTCTACGTTTTTTTTAAAGATATTTGAACTTCTTGGTCCCTTCAGAAAAAGTCTTTTGACTCTATCCCTGGGCATGAGCTTTGTATCATAAATATATATATGAACCTTATCTTTAGGAATGATGAATAATATATTCCACACATAGATCCACAAATTTTGGTCCCTAACATGGCTGTTGGTTAATTTATGACCGAGGCATGCCCTTTGCAGGATGATATATATTTTATATATACTGCGTTTCTTAGCATTGGTTTACCCCAATATTTATCCATTATTGCAACATACACATATATGGCATGGCATGGTTCCAAGTTCTCTTCTGTTATTGTTGAAATCAGCAATGAGGCGAGAGGGAAAAGATTCCACGGTTTTCATCATGTGTTAATTTTTATGTGAGAGAGAGAGAGAGAGAGAGAGAGAGAGAGAGAGATTGTATGGTATCAGCAGCCTAACCAGATCTTTTGGGATTTCTTTTGTGATTAAAAATTTAAGAATATTTGACTGGTCGGCAGCAAGAGATTGTATGCTTCTTCTAGATATACATTTTTATGCAACATTATATGGTGATCTTTGATTATGTGTCATTCTCTGGGGCGGTGGACTTTTGATCCTTAGCTCAAAAGCACATGCAGGGTCTGTGGTCACTGCTTTCATACCCACTAGAAATATGGGAACTTAACTTTGAGTCAACGTAATTGGGATGATCTTAGCTGTTGATTTTGTAGAAAAAGGATATAGAATTTGTGGGACGGTCAGGACTTCATGATTGGTTGACTTTTCAGAAATCAACAGGGGTTTGACTTTCTGGTTTTTCCTTCTATAAAGCAAACAACAATCTGCTCACCTGATACTACATTATTATTATTTGAACTGTAAAATTCCAGCTTTTTTAGTCCATCTACAATATCAAATCATCAATGGCTAATGAAATTAGCCATCTTTGTTTTTGTTTCTTATGCATTTTGGCTGCAATGGTCTTTATCATCATTTTCTTGAAGCACAAGAAACACTGTAACACAGACAAGCAAAATCTGCCACCTGGGGAAATGGGGCTTCCTTGGATAGGCCAGACCATGGAGTTCTACAAAGCTCAACGTAAAAACAGATTGTTTGACGATTTTGTACAACCCCGGATTACGAAATATGGCAAAATCTTCTCAACACATCTCATGGGATCACCAACTGTGATTGTAAATGGAGCCAATGCTAATAAGTTCCTGTTGTCCAATGAGTTCAAGTTGGTGGTGAGCTCGTGGCCTTCCGCGTCGGTTCAGCTGATGGGGAAGGACTCCATCATGGAAAAACAAGGAGAGAGGCACCGCTGCCTTCGGGGGCTTATAGGCTCAAGCCTTGGCCAGGCAGGGCTTGAGACTTTAGTGCCCAAAATATGCAACTCTGTGCAGCTGCATTTGGACACGAAATGGAAAGGCCAGGACAAGATTAGCCTATATCATTCGACGAAAATCTTGACGTTTACCATAGTGTTTGAATGCTTGTTGGGGATCAAAGTGGAGGCTGAGATGTTGGAAACCTTTGAGAGAGTTTTGGAAGGGGTTTTTGCAGCACCAGTTATGATTCCTGGGTCCAGTTTTTGGAGAGCAAAGAAAGCAAGGAAGACGATAGAGAAAATGCTGGTTGAAGTAGTAAGAGAGAAGAGGATGCAAATGGAAGGCAAGCTAGAAGAACAAGAGGAGCAGGGAGGGATGTTACTGTCGCGATTGGTGGCTGGGATGATTCGAGGAGAAATTACCAAAGAGGAGGTTGTTGATAATGTGGTTTTGCTAGTTTTTGCAGCTCATGATACTACTTCCTTTGCCATTGCCATGACATTCAAAATGCTGGCTCAGAATCCTTATTGCCATAGTCTCCTACTTAAAGGTATATAATCTTTCATGCAGTCCAAGTTCATCTAACAGCAAAAATAAGTTTAATCTGTTATCCGAGAAACTCCGCATTCAACAAGCTTATCAGTGAGGTTCATTTCATTTCCCATCAGAACATGCTGAGATAATGAGAAGCAAAAGACCAGGTGAAAATCTGACATTGGATGACACAAAGAAGTTGAAGTATACCTGGCAGGTTGCTCGTGAAAGCATGCGGCTCTTCCCTCCTATATTTGGCTCTTTCAGGAAAGCCATTGCTGACATTGAATATGAAGGCTTCACCATTCCCAGAGGATGGAAGGTACATATGTGTTCTGCTTTGGCCACACTACAATTTTATGCAGGTTTATACTTACAGGGTTTGGACTAATTTTTAGTGGTTTATTTTATTCAGGTTTTGTGGACAACATATGGAACACATTACAATTCAGAATATTTTCAAGATCCTCTGAGTTTCAATCCAAGTCGATTCGATGAGTCTGTTCCACCGTATGTGTTTCTTGCATTTGGTGGAGGGCCAAGACTGTGTGCAGGGTACCAACTGGCCAAGTTGAATATCCTCATATTCGTGCATTTTGTTGTTACTCTTTACGATTGGTCTTTGCTCTATCCTGATGAGCCTGTAACCATGGATCCCCTCCCATTCCCTTCCCATGGGATGCCTATCAAAATGACCCCAAAGTTATTTTGAATAGCACAACAACCAAAAGTTCTTGCAGCTCATCACTTTATCAGTAACCAGGAAAACTCACATAATCAAAGATTTATGCCCCCAAGTTAGCTTTTGATTGAATCAGTGTCTCGTCTACTAGATGTGAAGACTCTATTTCAATTCATATTCCAGACAAGTAATAACAAACAATAGGCTGACACGAACTTCGAATGCCTACAATGTATTATTGTTACATGTGAAAAAAAAATTCATCAGTATGATAGTATGACAGTCATGGCATCAAAAATTGATTTGACTTTGAACCCAAGGTTCCTGAGAGCTACTATTATAGACATTAAACATGTGCGGAAGAGGGGGTGTAATTTGATTTGGATAAATCATACACACAGATTTACATTGAAAGAAGCTACCACAGATCCTAATCAAGAATCATCAGCTAATCTTTTCTAATATCTTTGGCAGAGGAGTCCTTCAAAATAACAACTCATTGGAAATTTGTTGCATGGTTGGTCGAGATTGTGGATTTGTTCTCAAGCATGCAAATGCAAGGTTTAGAACAGTGACCACCTTTTCAACAACATGATTTCCAGGAGGTGAGAGGCGGGGGTCCAAAACGTCCTTGAGTTGTATAGGTTGGGCTGTTGATGTTAACGAGAGTGACAAAAAATAGGAGATGAGATCTCCAGGATGCTTTCCCATGATCACTTCTAATGCTACCACTCCAAAACTATAAACATCACATTTCTCATTCGTTTCCATTGTGTATGCCAACTCTGCAAAACAAAGATGAATTCATGATGGGTAAAAGCCTATCCATCATATTTCTGAAACATGCAGCAGGCCATGTATTATAGACAGAAGACAAGCAGGAAATAAGTACCTGGAGCACTGTATCCAAATGTGCCTGCAAACGAAGTCCAATTCGAAGTGTCAGCCTTCAAGAGCTTAGCTGTACCAAAATCCGAGACATAAGCCCCATACTCTAAGTCCAGCAAGATGTTCTTGCTCGATATGTCTCGATGCAATATTGCAGGTGAACAATCATGATGCATATAAGATAATGCATTAGCCACATCTTTGACAACATTCACTCTCTCAATCCATCCAAACTTAATGGCATGGTTTTCGTCGGTCAATATGTTTTCCAGGCTTCCCCCTTCTATGAAATCGTAAACCAAAAGAGGGTGTTGTGGATGTGAACAAAAACCATAGAGCTTCAATATGTTGCGGTGACGAATTTCTGAAAGAGTACGAACCTCACTCTCAAAAGCCTTGAAATTTGCTACTCCACTATCTTGTACAATGTGAAGTTTCTTTACTGCAACAATCCGACCTGTTTGCAGTTCAGCTTTATAAACACTTGCATTCCCTCCCACTCCTACACAATATTTGGAGTTGAATTCCTCTGTAGCTTCAATGATGTCTTCATATTCCAATCTTCCATCATAGCTCCAAACTGCAAATTGGTTTTCATTTTGCGCTTCTTGCGAATAGCAACGCACCCAAAGAATCCCAAATACTACAAATGCAAAAAAGAGGATGGCTAAAACAAAGACTATGATGAATATAACTGATTTGCTGCCCTTTTTCCCTCCTCTTGTTTCAGACGGGCAAGCGTTCAAACCAGTGGCGTTACCACACAGGCCTGTGTTATTCTCAAAAGCTACAGCTGAAGCCTCAAGGAATGCTTTGTTGTTGGGAAGAGGACCCTCCAAATGATTGAAGGATAGGTCAATAACTGTCAAGCTCAACATATTATCAAAGGTATATGGGATCGAACCAGAGAGCTCATTATGGGAGAGATTCAATGCTTCCAACTTTACCAATTGTCCAAGCCGTGGCGGTATTTCCCTAATCAGGGAATTTTGACTAAGATCAAGAACTTGAAGAGTTTGCATGCTTCCCATCTGAAGAGGAATGCTCTCACTGAATTTATTTTTGCTCAAATTCAAGTTCAGTAACTCTCTGCACCCATCTAATTGTTCCGGAATTGGTCCATTGAAATCATTGGCTGCTAAGTTAAGTTGTTGTAGATTGGTTAACATTCCAATTTCTGGTGGGACACTACCCGAAAGTTTATTATCACCCAGGTTAAGGTTGAACAAGGATGTCAACCTCCCTAGTTGCCTTGGGATTGTCCCAGTGAGATTATTCGAAGAGAGGTCAAGTATATGCAGCTGAATTGATCCCTCAAACTGAGGAACTCTTCCGGAAATTCTGTTGTTGCTGAGCTTCAAGCTTTGTAAGTTTTGACATTCTCCCCAGTTTTCAGAAAGTTCTCCATAGAATCTGTTATAACTGAGGTCGACATAAGCTAATTTCGGATAAATGCCAAACTCTTCATTTATGTTTCCTGTTAGCTGGTTTCTTTCAAGCCTCAATCTAACTAAGCTGTTGCAGTTTCTCAAGCTGTTAGGCATGAGGCCTGTCAACTGATTGTTATGTGCTGTAAACATTTCAAGTAATCCACCACTGCATAAATCTGGGGGAATATTACCAGACAAGTTGTTGCTACTCAGCCACAGGTCCTTCAAAAATTTAAGATTACTCAATTCCAAAGGAATGGAGCCATTTAGTCTGTTATCTACCAACCCTAGAAGGGTAAGAAACTGAAGCTTTCCTACTTCAATTGGAATGGTTCCAGTTAATTGATTACCCATCAGGTACAACTCCTTCAGCCTAGTCAGGTTTCCTATACTTGAAGGAATTGAGCCAGAGAAATTGTTGCGATGAAGACCTAAAACAGTTAAGTTTGACAGGTTTCCAATTGATTTTGGAATTGAACCTGTGAGACTGTTTTTCTCTATATGAATCACACTGAGTGAATTCAGCATACATATTTCCAGAGGGATATTTCCAGAAAGTTCATTGTTATGAAGAGAGAGAATAGTTAAGTTTCCCAACAAACCAACTTCATGGGGAATGGACCCATTAAGGATATTTTCAGAAAGATCGAGGATTAGAAGACTTTTCAGAAAACCTATTTCTGCTGGGATTGTTCCAGAAATTGAGTTATGGCTCAAGTTAAGGCTTAGGAGACTGGGGAAAGATGAGAAACTGAATGAATGAAGTGTACCTCTTAAACCAGAACCAGTGAGATTTATATGAGTGATGCTTCCAATATTGTTGCAACCAATCCCATCCCAATTGCAAGTGCTGTTTCCAACCCATGAAGACAAGAGAGACAGGCTTGTGTTGTCAAGGCTAGCCTTCCAATTCAGGAGAGCCTCTGCTTCCTGTCCTGCAGATGAAGCTGAAGGTGCTAAACAAGAAGAAACCAACATGAGAATAATAGCCATTAGGATGACTTGAAGTGAATGCTGTGAAGCAGCAGCATTAGCAGAAAGTGGTTTCTCTTCTTGGGATGCCATGGTTTTAAGCTGTGAATATGTCTTGGTTACTGCAAATCAAGAGATGGCACCAGAAACCCATCTGCCAAAAGTAGATGGTTTGGTCATAAGGAAGAGTGTGGTACTTAAATTTGGCTCAATGTGACTTGCACACAGTGCAGGCTGCATACAGGCCCCCTCGTAGCCAAGGATATGATTGAAATTCCATTTTCTTCAGTCGTGGACTTTATTATTGTTTTATTACAAGTAAGACAAATAAGACTTATTCTTAATGAAAAATGCTTTCCTCCTTACTAGGTAAGTAAGAGCTCTTATATTTATGTCAACATAAGTTTTTCTTTTTGCATTTTTTATGAATTATTTTTGCGTATGTGTCAAAATTGTAATTCACAGGAAAGAAGAGCATCTCCTTATCAGGTAAAGAGGCAAGTAGTATTCATATTTGATTGTTTAAACTTTTAAGTAGCATAAGTTCATGCCTATGAATTTTGAGCTAAGTGTGAACATTAAACAGATCAAGTTGTCCTTGGAAGACCTGAGGTAGACGCCAAATCTTTTGGTGACTTTAAAAAAATGTGTGTTTGGCGTGTCGGTACAAACAGAGAAATCCAAGGCTCCAAATTTAAAAATGGAGAGTTGAAGCCAGTGGATGTGGCAATCCATAGCCTCCCCATTGAGCCATTGCATTCAAATTTTAGCCTTTTAGAATTTGTCAGTTGACCTTTGACCTTGTGTCGAATTAGTTGCCAAATTCTAGTATTCTACCCATATTCTTCTCTCTCTCTCTCTCTCTCTCTCTCTCTTTATCTTACAAGAAAAGTAAGCATTACTTGCACCATCCAAGCTCTTTCCAGAGTGTGAAAAGAGGATGCAGGTTCTTCCGTTTCTTTTTCCAATAGAAGTTTCAAGGTTCTTGAAAGTTGGAAGTTTGACTCTTTGCACATTCAACATGCACGAGTCACGACTCTTTTATCTGACCTAAATCGACCATCACACCCATCTGAAAATGTGTCATGTTTTTAGGGATTAGCCAAAGTAACGGGTGATGCTGTGTGAGGTTTTGCTAACTCGAAAACAACCCGTTAAGCTATTATGTATAAAAATGTGAATAAGAACAAACGACTAGTAAAAATAACAAGTTACACAATACTAAAAATTATTTTAAAACATTTTAAAAAGATATATATGCACATTTGGAACATGTCTCTATGGAGTGTGGATTAAATTGTTGAACTCAAATTAGCCATCCATGGACATGCGTCAACTCTGAAGGTACACCTTTGTCTTCTCTTATGAAACTCTAGCCAATTAGTTTCTTGAAAGTCATTGCCTATGTCAGTAAATTATTGTTAGCTTGATATGATGGGATGCACATGATGTCTTCCACAGTCACTCCTTTGTGTCCTTTCCAGGTAAAGCCAATATGATATGACTTGCTTTATTAGCATAAAGTTTCGTCATAGCTATTAGGGTTTTGCCTTTAAATATTTACACGTGCCCCTTCTTTAGTGATTAAGCCAGGATTTAGGGGGATTATTCCAAGTCGTCCAACACATGAGATTTTTATCATATCCACTGCCCCAAAGATGTGCTAATTGCAATTCACCAAACTCTGTACGCAAAAGATGATAGCCATCTTTAGTCAAAGGTTGAATTGGGGTTATCAAA